AACCACATTAGTGCAAGAGTGACTCCATTGCAAGCTAAGAGCCAACTCTTCACTCTTCTCTGAGAGGAAGAAACATCTCACACAAGCATCTGAGATAGATTGATTCCAAAGGTGGATGTGACAAACCCTCTGAAACCAACATTTCGCTACCAAGATGAAGGAAGACTCTTCCTTATATACAAGTACCCAAAGATCTGTGGGGAAAAAGACACTTGAGGCTAGTTCAGGATACACTCCATCCAAGCTCCAGTTCTAAGGAGTATAGCTAAATAGTATGTGTGAGAGATAAGAAAAGAAATGGCGAGTACAGGTGCAGTTTAAGCATCCCAGATGCTTAAAACAGAAGCAAAAATTGAAACATGGTTGGAACAACACATGCATTGGAAACTAGGCTACGACTTAGTTTTAGTTACATTTGGCAAATGTCTACTAGAAAATGAACTGGTACTTTCTAAAATGTTTTTTTATTTTAAATATATAAATTGTTTATTTTTAATAAATATTTTAATATTTTTACATATTATTTATGTTAGCTTGTTGACTTGCTTATTTTTTCTACATGCATAAATAAAGATGTAAATGTAAAGACAGTGGAAAGTCTGAGTACCACTGGACTAGAGTTCTGGAAGACCAGGGTCTGAATTCCTGCTCATCCATGGAAATCCACTGGGTGACCTTAGGCAAATGAGATAATCTCTCAGCCTCAAGCAATGGGGAATTTCCCCTGAATAAAATTTGCCAACCTCTGCCCATGATAGGGTCCCCATAAGTCGGCCTTGACTTGAAGGTACATAATAACAAACAATTACTGTTCTATAAGTTGGCCTCATGTAAAAGTTGAGGGCAAGTTTTGGGGCCAAAATTAAGGATTTTGATATGACCCATGGATAAGTCCAGGGTACAACTTAGGGGCATGCAAAAAAGGATCTAAAGGATGAAGCAAAGGAAAATAATGCCAAAGAACTTACAGAATCCCACCAGTCATCATTGTTTGTTCTCACACTAAGAACTGGATGGATGAGAGAGTAGAGGGGGATCAGTGCTTCCAGGACAGATTACACTCTTGCCTTTAACTGGGGGGTGGTTCCTTTTTTAAATATAATAATATAATAATAATAAATTTTTATTTATAGCC